AAAAAAACCACAATGGAATCTTGAAATTCACAGAAAATAGATGGAACTGAAAGAAACCATCCTGAGTGATGTAACCCAGTCACAAAAAGACAAACATGGTATGTACTCACTCATATATGGATTTTCGACATAGAGTAAATGCTTACCAGCCTGAAATGCACACCACCAAAGTAGCTAGGAAACAAGGAATACGCTAAGAGAGACATACATATTCCTCTGGAGAAGGGGAAAGGACATGATCTTCTGGAAAATTGGAAGCATAGTGGGAGGGGAGTTGGAGCTAGTTGAAAGAGAAGAGGGAAAGAGAGGGGAGAGGAGAACATGAGGGAGCAGGAAGGCTGAGATGGGGGGAGAGAATAGAGGAGAGCAAGAAAAGACATACCATATTAGAGGGAGCCATTATAGGTTTAAAGAGAAATCTGGCACTAGGGAAATGTACAGAGATATAAAAGGAAAGACACCAAGTAACAATCTAAGCAACAGTAGAGAGACTACCATAAATGCCCTCCGCTAATAATGAGATTGATGGCTACCTTATTTGCCATCCTGGAGCCTTCATCCTGCAGCTGATGGAAGTAGAAGCAGACACCCACAGCTAAACAGTGAACTGACCTCCTGGAATAGTTGCAGGAGGGAGGAGTGATGAGAAAAAGGGTCAAGACCCACAGAAACAGCTGACATGAACAAGCGTGACCTCATGGACCCCAGACTGATAGATGGGAAACAAGCATAGAACTTATCCAGATCCCTTGAATGTGTTGTGTAATTGAGGAGACTTCAGCAATTTATGGGCCCTCTGGAAACAGATCAGTATTGATCCCTAGCATTTGTATGGAATTTGGGAGCCCATTCCAACATAGAGGGATACTCTCTCAGCCTTTAAACATGGGGGAGGGCCTAGGCCCTGCTCCAAAAGATATGATAGACTGTGAATATCTCCCATGGAAAGCCTTATCCTCCCTGGTGAGCAGAAAGGGGATTGGATAGAGGGTTGGTGAGGGATGGGGGAGGAGGAATGGTAGAGGGAACTCAGATTGATATGTAGAATAATCTTGTCTCTAAATTAAATAAAAAATAGAAAAAATGCCTTGTTGATTCTTAATCAGAAAAACATCTTTACAGTGAATAGTGATGACTAGAAAATCATTGCTTCACAAAGTACTAGTAAGTGAATGGAGAATACTAAGCCATAAACATGTCATTCCCACCATTCTCTCTACTGCTCAGAAAGGTATCTCAGGAAAATAGGAAGAAAACTTGTGAATGTCATCTTCTGGAGAAAACAGAGCAATTACCACCACAATGTTTCCATGGTGTGTGCATGGCATCTGCACAATAATGGGCCTGACAATAGTGAATTATGGATTGCTAGGGGAGCAGTGTCCTTAGCATTCATTGGTTAACTATCCATTTGCAGGATTGCTTTCAGCTGTGCACCCACTGATAACTGCATTAAGCTTTAATGAATATTTCCAATCCAATATTCATACAGGTGGACATGATAAAAAAAGTCACACACACAGGAAATCACATAAATGGGGATGGATATGGATTTGCAGAGGGATTTAAGGAATGGAGAAGATGATTAGACATGTTGGGGGAGAATAATCACAATATATTGTGTACTAATATGTATTTTTCAATTTGTATAATTATCTTTTTCTTTAAATAAAACAAAATGAAAATAAATAAAAGAAACAGAATATAGCTAAACCAATGAGAGAAGGCAAAATAAGTAATAATGAGTAATAAGTATGACTAAATATATAATTTATATAAAAACATATAACTTTATGTGTATTGGTGTTCTACCTACAAGTGCACAACACTAGTGCTTAATGCCATTTTACTGTGCATAAATGACATTACTCTTCTTCTGTTCAATATATACAACATTAGTTATAACAACTGACAATGCCATATCATTGTCAACACTTCTTGAAGTGTACTTCTGAGATAACTATTATCCTATATTTTTTCCTCCATTAGCTGTCCTATTATGAAACATGGAATCAAAAAGCAACTGATTCAGTATCTATTAGAAACTTCATAAAGTTTCATGATCTGTTTACACGGTAAGGATTAAAAATATTCTAGGAACATGTTATAGGGAATGAAGAACATCAGAACACCAACATTTGATCTCCTGGACATGCCTGAGGGCAACAGGATTTGGAGATTCTCTGCTCAATATAGCTGTCTAAATGAGCATTAGAGAAAACCCAAATTTAGTATCTACATTCTTGAAAAAAAGAATTACTTTATTAGTTATACTTGTATTTCCAAAATCAAAAGTATGATAAGAATGTTTTGTAGAAGCTGGGAAGTGGTGGTGCACATCTTTAATCCCAGCACTGTGATGGGGAGTTAGAGGCAGGCAGATCTCTGAGTTTGAGACTCCCTTAGTCTACAGAGTGAGCTGTAGGAGGGGGCAAATCCATCATATCAATGTTGGAGAAAGCAACCCAGTGGATAAAAAAAGAGTCCTATAGCCATGCACAAAAACAAGGGTTTCTCTTTCCACTCAGGAATCCCACACCAGCACTAAGCTAAAACCTACAGTATATATTTAGAAGACCTGGTAAATACCTGTGTAAGCTTTGTGTATCCTCTCAATAATAGAAATTGGAGTCTGCATAGCAACTATGAATTCACTTCCAGGTTCTTAAATTCACTAACATTTTTACTCAAAACATTGGATTTCTCTTGTGCTATTCTGAACACAGTGCTCTCTACTTTTTAAGGTACAGGCTATTTTTAGGCCTCTTCAGAATCTCAGTATTATTCTAGAATCATGTTAGTAAAAATCAATTGTGGTTACTGCCGTGGAATTTTCAGAAAGTTATTTCTTGGGTCATATTTATAATATCTATATGCAATCTTTGAAATATCTTCACCAATTTTCAGTTCAGTTAAAAGAGAAACTTCATACTGTCATAGAACAGGTAGAAAACAAGAAGTTGCATTAAAAATGTGGGTGTCTTCTGGATGTAAACAACTATATTGATAATAGAAAAAATGGGGCTGTAACTCTCTTTTCGCCTTATAGAAGAATGTCTTACTGTGATCTATGTTGGAACAAGGTATCAAGGATTTTAAGTAAAATTAAAGTGAAGTACAGGACACATACATTGCAATAGAACAAAAATATCTGTAAAATTTACTCAACAGATAATTCTATGAGTATCTATTTCTGATCCAGAAAAAGGAAGTGTTGGTTTCTGAGACTTTTAATGTATATGCTTTTCTCTTTTTCGTTTATAAGCTTCTTTTGATATACATATATTATTCCCATGATGCATATGATTGTAATGAATGATCAAATATGCATATGATAATAAATAGGAGAGTTTCTGTTAAATCCTATTCTAAGGATCCTCTTTTCTGCTAAATGTCAGTTGTAGGGTGAATTGGTCAAATAATCCTGCCTCACTATATATTGGAGTGTACTTTTCCATTCTAGAGATTACTATGAAATCATGGGTTCGAATAGCATTATTGTTTCTTTGGAGAGTGATATGCATGAAGCTTGGTGAGGTTCTGTTGAATTTCCAGTTAGCTCTCTGCTTCTCTGTCTCCTTGCACATACAGATGTAAACTCTTAGCTACTACTCCTGGGACAGATCTGGGGCATACATATATTAAAGTTATCTACAACAAATCCTTAAACCTTTTTCCTGTCTGCAGCTATGCTTTCCACCATGCTGATAATAGTTTATCCTTATGGAACCATGAACATGAAATTTAGATACTTTCTTTCATAAATTGGAAAGTCAAGATATTTTCCACTGCAATAGTGAGGCAATTAAGACACGTGTGCTCCTAGTACAGATAGGAAGGGACAGTTAATAGAGGACTCCCCATGAATACAATATGAGAGTTGAAAATTTACCTTAGGAGCCTATTGTCAGGAAGCCTTACTTGAGGTAAAAACAAAAAAAAATGGACTCCAGATTCTGAGAAACATTTGTTCCCAATATCAGTTTGTCTGAATATTAGTCCCTTAGGGTTTTCAAATATTTAAGTCATTTTAATTGTATATGTACATGTATTTTCTGTCTTACATTTTGTGTAACTTATCAGTGCAAAGTCTCAGAGAAATGAAGAGATGCTCAGAGATGCTGGACCTGTAGTTATCAACAGTTGTTAGCAGTCGTGTGGATGTTCAGACTCTAAAAAGGTCCTCTGAAAGACCAATCAGTATTCTTTAGTCATGTTCTGGCCATGCTAGAGGGTTCTATGAAGCTATGCGTTGAAGTGACCCTGTTGTTGTGTTAGAAGCCTACTTTCTCAGAATTTTAATGCTATAGCTAGATAATCATTTTCTCGCTCAAATATAAATTACTGCAGTTTGGTGTATATGTGTTATGTAGAGGTGTAAGTCTCTCTCATCTCTCCTCTCCTTCTCCCTCTCTCTCTCTCTCTCTCTCTCTCTCTCTGTCTGTCTTTCTCTCTCTCTGTGTGTGCGTGTGTGTTACACATTCATTTACACACAGAGTAGAGAGAGAGAGAGAGAGAGAGAGAGAGAGAGAGAGACTATGTGTGATTGATTTCTGCTCTATGAATCTCAAATGTTGCCTTGAGTCTGCTCTTCATGTGAACCATTCCTGTGTCTTTAATGTTGTTTGGCCTGGACAAGAGGGCAATTTGTGGTAAGAAATGTTTCTATGATTACTACACAAAATCATCATGTTGACCTCTAAATTCTGACAAAGGGAAACACTCTTATCACTAGCAACATCTGAAGGAGCAACTGGGGCAGCCTTGACTCACTTCTGCTTCCCTGGGTGGTTTATGTCATGGTTTAAATCACTGTGGGAGGGGTACTGTAATCCTGCTGACAGAAATAACTTGCAACATCTTCAGACTGCAGGTTGGTTATCTCAAAAGAATACTGTGTGCCAGATCCACTGCCACTGAATCTTGAAGGGACCCCATCTTTCAAGCTATGTGTATTATAGATCAGGAGCTTAGGAGGTTCCTCTAGTTTCTGCTGATACCATGCTAAATTCCCGTAAAGGTCTTCACTTGCCAGACATTTGATGGTGACACTTTTTCCCAGAGATACAGACAGGGAGGCTGGAGACTGAATCATCTGGATTTCACAATTGGCACCTGGGATTAAAAAATTGAAAGCAAATTTACTCACAATTAATCCTATTAGAAGAGAAGGTTCCCAAAGACTAGGACGTACTGACTACACCCAGCTGGATAAATTTCCAATGCTGTCATCCTTACCTGTAAAACAGAGTAGCAGCAAACCTAGGAGCTGAGTAGCAGCCATCATGTCTGTGCTTTGACCCATCAAAGTCTGATTCCAGCACAAGGTTTGACCTGACTTTGAAGAAGTCCTCAGGGCAGTGGGATGTGCTTTGCTCACATGCAAATCAGCAATGACTGGCCACAGTCAGAGGACTAGTCCACAAACTTACTTTTTAAAGGTTCATGGTTGAATTAAGTCTCAGATAACAGTGGCAGTAATGCTTATTTGTAAATTCATATTTCTCTTGTGAGACCAAAGAACAGTATTGTCTTTGGACCTTATTCTGATTTATATCATTTTTAATGTCGAATTTCCTTGTTGCATTTTCTCCCAAAGCAAGGACTGTCAAATAGGTTACAGTTCTATAAAGGACATATATGACTATGAGTATATGGTCCTTTTATAGGGTATAAGGAGCTGTAGATGTTATTGATGCCATTCATATATATATATATATATATATGTATATATATATATATATATATA